CATCATCCATTTACTTAATTTTTCAATTTCAGTGTATATGTATAGTGGTTTCATAATTGTTAACTGCTACCTCCATGGGAAATAACTTTATCAACTAGTGTACAATATTTCTTTAGTTTTACAGACTTACTTCCAAAATTATTTATATTGGCACATTTTTTGCCACCCAGGTTGCTTCATACATTTAGCCAGTCTGAAAAATCTATGTATTACATGATTTTATTTAAATGAAACTCTGGAACAGGCAAAACTTACAGAGAGAGTAAACACAACTCTTGTTGTCAGATTCACTGTCACATTCTGCATTTCATTTAGGATCTCCTGACATTCAATTTTTTTTTTAGTTCACTTATATTAAGGTTTACTCTTGTGTTGTAAAGATCTTTGAGTTTTGGCAAATGTACAGTATCCTGTAACCACTATTACAGTGTCATAGAGAATAGTTTTGCCATCCTAAAAATTTCCTATGTTTCACCTATGACTCATTCTCTCACTCCCAAGCCCCTGGCAACTGCTGTTCTCCTTACTAACTATAATTTTGTCTATAGAATGGAATCCTGCAGTATGTAGCATTTTCAGATTCATCCATGTCTTTGCATGGCTTGATAGCTCATTCCTTTTTATCATTGAATAATATGGAAGAGGTTTTTATATTCTGAATTCCATGGCAGGTAACTTCATAGGTTTCCATTAGACATTTTTTTCCTCCCAAGTCCTCTGGTAATACAGAAGCTTTTCTGGCATATCCTTATGTAGCACTCAGTTGTTCTCCTATTGTTATAAACAATTTAACTCTCTTCCTCAACCCTGAATACCCTCCTCAGCAAACAAAACGGGGCTCTTAGCATTTTAGCCCTTACCCAAACAGCTTCTCCTTCCTAGTGCCACCTACATTGTAGTTCTTAATGCCCCTGTCAACATTCCTTCCTCCTAACATCATCATTACAACTTTCTTTATACAATCTTTTGAACCATTCTGTATTTTGCAACAACGCTCTCCCTAGCCCGTAGGAGATAGTCAATAAATACTCATTGAATGAATAAATAAATAATTTGGTATAATGTAAGAGCTAGACTGCAGATAAACTGACAAAACCCCAAATGAATGCTGTATTCCATCCACTTAGGTAGTATAGTTTTTTTGCTATGCACTTTTTCTTTTTTCACTATTTGAAGTTCATTTCTAAAAGTAGCCTGAAATCTGAAACATATTCTATTTATAAAGCTCACTTAGTGTTTATAGAAGTGTATTGGTGAACCTTAACAATGTCTGCCTGATTTTTAGCATTAGCCAAGAACATCAGCATTACTACTGTCAATGTAAAAAATGTTCAAACCTATAGAGAATGTTAATGAGTTTATTTGAGCAAAGCTGACGACAGTTGCCAGGAAGCAAAATCTCAGTGGATTAAGAAACTGTTCTGGATAATGGCAGTTTTGCAGCTTATTTTATACATTGGAATCAAAGGAGGAGACATAAGGAGGGTTATGTGAAATCAACTGGTAGCAGATTAGGGAGGCAGGAGAAAGCAAAGTGAAGAAATATCTGGGATTAGATGAAAAGTAAAATGAAGGGAGGGACATACACTTCTTTTACACTGGTGGGTACAGGAGAGTTAATAATTAACATTTACAACACATAGAGATGGTATGTGGGGGATAAGATAACCATGAGGGATTCTGTGGTCTCTTGCTCCGGTGCAGTGGGTTGTTCCCTGAGGAGTCTGGAAAAAAGACATTCCAACAGTATGTTATCTTAGATACAAAAAGAGAATAGACAGGCTTACCTAAGGTAAAAATTGACCTTTGCCAAGAGGGCTACAGGTCCAGGATGTGACTACCCACCACGATCTGCTTTTAGAAACTTTTATGTTCTGACCAACCTATGTGGTTACTTTCAGTTTCTGAGTTTGTAGGACTCCCCATGCTTGCCTTCGCTGAGCTTGTCAGGTTTATGTGGCCTTTTTTTCATCCACACTACAAACTATAAATTTTTTCATCCACACTACAAACTACAAATTTCTCATAAAATTGCATGGCCAAATTTGGGGAGTTGGCTAGCCAGATCAGAATTATTATCATCATTATTATTAGTAAAATGAGTTTATGTGGCTGTTTATTAAGTCATTAACTTAAAAGAATCCTTAACATTGGTCTAAAATTTAAATACTGAGCCTCCAAGCAAAATATTCTAGAAGGACCTCTATTTCACATATTTAAGTTTCAAGATAAACTTGGAAACCACAGTTCTATCTGTTGGCCCCTCTTACAAAGCCTGTATTGCATAGGTATTTTCTTCCTTTAAGCTATGTTTATTAGCCTCTGTATATTAAATCCCTAATTTTGATGTGGATAAAATGTTGAACTTTAGGTGGTGGGGAAAGAAGATTTCTTTAATTTCTGCTCCTCCTTTTTCTCCTTCTCCTTCTTTTTCCTTTTTTTTCCTCTTTTCTTCCTCTTTCTCTTTCCTCTTCTTAAAATATTTGCCATTGTCTTACGTTGTGGAAAATGCCATCATCCAGAAGAGAGTAATTTCACTTCAGTTAAATCTCACATGTTTACAACCATCCTTCACATGTCTTTGTATTAGAAATAAGGTCTTAAGGGGTTTCTTGATCTTTCAGAGTCAGAATTCCCTATTTTATGGATTAGTCCCTTGCTGGAACGATTATTTTTAAAGCATAAAAATGTGTACAAGTAGAATATTACAAAAACACTTAAAGTCTGGATAAGTTTTAAAAGAGGGTACATCATCTTTTCTGGTTTCTGTTGCAAGGTAGATATCCATATTCTCAACATTTGAAATAGTCAAACTCTTTTGTATCTTGTACTTTTCCTGGTCCCTTCCATTTGTAACATTCAGGTTGTGGAGATGACATAAAGCTGCTATTAGAAGATAATGGTTAGCTGAAAGTGTTGGTTACTCACTTCAGGTTAGGTGAACTTTGTTTCTCAGGCATGACAAATCATTAACCCCTCTACGTAAGTGCTAGAATTTAGGAAACAAAAGCAGAAGGTAAAATGGTGATGGTCTATACAAGACTCCCAAAAGTTTGCTTTTCAAAATAAATAAAGATAAGATTTCTTGGCATACAGATAAGAACTTTCCAACATTCCGTGTATGCATAAAATTCTTTTTAAGAAACAGGTTTCACAGCTCAAAGATTTGGATTGTTTGTATGCTGTATTTAGCTGAAATTAAATTCCACCTCTCTGGTATTCATCTTACCTCAGTAACATGCTAATTTCATCCTCATAGTCAGTAAGAATTAATGTATAAATTGACATGAACTTACAAATAGAGATACGGTTGGGAAAAATTGGTTCAATGTTTTTCAATGTTAAGGATGAAAATCAACAGACTATATGAATCAAGAGTTGCCAAGAAGATCAGTGTTTTCCATTTGTATCTATACCATTTGTTTGGGCATTTCTCTCAGGACATTTCTACTTTGACAAACCAACACAGTTTTTGAAAAAAATGCTAGTAACAGAAGTTGCTGCTTTGGCTGCCTATGCTAACAGAAACAGATTGCCTGATTTCTCCATTGGCAATCCACATTATTTCCTTTATTACATACTGAATAAAAGGAGGCTACTAAATTGCAAACTATTCAAATCCATTTCTTTCTGCACTGATGAATCTTTCAAGTTTTCCAGAATTGGAAAATGTGGTACGGCCTTTTCTACATTTTCAAAGCTGGTGGTTGTTTTTTCATACTGGGTAAATATTTATGACTCCTCATGATGTTCTTAGTGCATCACATATGTTGCACATTTTACAAGTTTCAATGCTCTTTCATATATTATTTCACATTTAATTTACAACAGTTCTGTAAGATAGCATGAACATCACTAATGATTTGTAGATGATGATGAGGCTCAGAAAATTTCAATAAGTTTTCTGTAGTCACAAAGCTAGATGTGTTGGAGTCAGGATCGGAACTTAAGTTTTCAGATTTGAACCCAGGCTACTTCATTCTAATATGAATTCAGAGCATTATTACTTGTGGTAAAGGAACAATGCATATCATAGAAATTATATATTTTGCAATTTAGGCTGTGATGGTACTAGATAGCACTTTCGCTTTTCATTTTTATCATTGTGACCTCTTGATAAGAGGAAATCTCATTGCTATTCTTTACTCTGATTTCCTTAATAATCTTATTTTCCAACAAGAATTTTAAGACTTAACTTAAATATTGTAATTAATGCATTGAGAGAATATATAAACATGAGCCATTTTATGTCCTTTTTCCAGTGTGGATATTCATGAATGTAATTTAATGTTAATTTCAAAATATTAAATTTTATTTTTTGCAGTTCCTATGACTGAATTTACAGTCATAACAAGGAAATGTTTAAATTTTCTACTGATTCTTGTGTTTCTTAAGACATATCCTTTTAACCTATCTTCGTCTTTTGCTCTTCTCAGTATACAAATAAGTCTTAATATCATCTTATTAATATCGGCCCGTTAGAGCTACTTGACAGAATCTTTAGTCAAAACAGTATGTTTCCTCTTCTCAAAACCTGGGAGAAACTCAAAAAAGCTTTTTATTCTCAATGTTTTTGAGGTTTTAAGCTTAGTAGGTGTAAAGTAGTAAATCATGTCCTTTTGATATTTTTAAAATTACGGATATGATAATGCAAATTTGATTTTTTTCCACAGAGCCCAATATATTAACTGATTTAAGCATATTTCCACCCACCCCCCTTTTTTGGTAACATGTATGATTAGGAAAAGAAAAAAAAAGTTAATATTTAGGAAAAAATTACATGTTAATTTTAATTAAAGCACTTATATTATATCTAATAACAACTAGAGTCTTGAAACCTGGTGATATTCTCAAGAAAACTCAAGATATTAAATATGTAAAATTTTAGAAACCCATTTCACATCAGTTCTCTATGTCTGTGTGAAATGAAAGATGAAAATGGGTCGGATATTAATCCCACTAGGAACTTTTGGAAATTTTATTTTCCTTTGTCCTCTTAGGTGGCTATCTTTGTGCTACAACTGGGCAGTGCTACATTTCTGCTTACGGAGCCTGTGATCAGTGCGATGACAACTGGGGCTGCCACACATGTCATGACTTCACAAGTCAAGTGTCTCTTGGGAATGAAAATGCCCTATATATCTGGATCATTTGGATTCTTTTATGTAAGTTTTCCGTATGTCTTTGTTCATATATTTTGGGTGTGTATTTCACAAAGTAAAATTTGGCTAATTATAATACTGAGATATTTCTATATTAAAGGAACTTGGGTTTAAATATAATTTCTTAGAATATTTAAAATGTGGTTTAGGATATTAAAATAGTTTAATGAGCAATATCTATTATTTTGTAAGTAATTCTTTATAAAAATTGAATATGATATTAATTTGGGCATGCTTAGAAAAAAATAATTTGAATTTTTTTGTGAGCCAGATACATTGCCAACTTCTAATGGAAGCCATTTTCTGTGATTGTGGCTGAGTTTAACAACCATGCACTTGACCACATCCTTTCAATATTGTGAACCCTGGTATGGATCAAAATTGGTGTCTGGAGCCCCAATAGAAATCAGTTATTAAAAGCCACTTGAACCTGAGAGAGGAACATGTGACTAGTTTCAACATATTATCCTCATAATAGTCTATTGTCGTTGGTCTCTTTTTGAAGCTGGCCTAAAATCTATGACTGCTCAGGAAGTCACATGTTATTGAAGCTTTATAAGAAAACTACGCCTTGTTAATTAACCAAACTTTATATTATGTAATTTTATGTTGTAGAGAAGGGAAAACATTTTTCTTCTATTCTTGTAGGTTCTCAGCTATGATCCTTGTAACAAAAAAACAGATTAACAAGAGAAAAACAAACACAAATTGAAACAGTGGTTTGTTAATGTATATATCTTATATATACTTAAGAGAAACTCAAGGATGAGTAACTCAAAGGAGGTGGCTAGAATTTGGGCTTATATAACATCTTCACCTAAAACAAAGGAAGAAGGATTTGGGATAGGTAAATTATGGAAAGGTGACCAGGAAAAGTACAGTAAACAAGGGTACGTGTGTGATGCAGATTTCAGTTGGTGCCTTCTCCACTGATGAGAGTCTCTTGTGATTTAGTGTCATCCTTTTCCTCCTAGTACTGAGGAGAGACACCTTACAGATGGATATTTGCTTTATTGATTTAAATTTTCCTAATTTATAGTCTATTTTCAAAGCTTACTTGTGTCTGCTGTTTTTCAAGACAGTATACTTAAAATAATCCTTATGTCAAACAGGAATATTTTGGGGTGGCATATTCCGATCTCCTACAATGTGATACTATACACTCCATTGCATACATAACATTTATATACAATGTATATAAATAATATTAATGTTTTATAATAAGAATATTTCTATCCTTAATTTTCTTGATTTTAATGGTTGAATATTAGCTTAATATATGGAAGTACAATAATTTGCTATCTAATGTCTGATATTGAGTTGGTTTGTGTTGTTTCACCATTATCCACAGTCCCACGAAGATCCTTGTTATTTGTATGTTATTATCTGCATCACTAATTACTTTTTTCCTTTTTTTTTATTACGGTGACATTTGTTAACAAATCCAATAAGTTTCAGGAGTATAATTCAACAGTAAAGTATACATATATACATTACATTGTGCATTGACCACCCATAGTTAGATTTCTTTCTGTCACCGCATATTTGACTCTTTTTACCCATCTACCTCTCCCATTATCCCCACCGCGCCCACCCTCGGGTAATCACTGGTCTATTGTCTATGTCCATGAGTCTGTTTATTTGTCCTCTTTGTGTGTTGCTTTTAGGATCATATTCCACATATAAGTGATCTCATGTGATTTTCAATTTTTTCTGTCTGGCTTATTTCTCTTAGCATGATTATCTCATGGTTAATCCATGTTGTCACAAATGGCACTATTTCGTCTCTTCTAATGGCTGAGTAATATTCCATTGTATATATGTACCACAACTCCTTTAGGCAATTATCTATTGTAGGACACTTCAGATGCTTCCATGTCCTGGCCACCGTGAATAATGCTGCTGTGAACACTGGTGTGCAAATGTCTTTTCAATATGGGTTTCAATATACCCACTAGAAGGATTACTGGATCATATGGTAGATCAATTCTTAGTTTTTTGAGGAACCTCCATATTGTTTTCCATAGTGGCTGTACCAATTTGCAGTCCCAACAATAATATATGAGGGTTCCTTTTTCTCCGCATCCTCTCCAATACTTGTTATTACTTATCCTGTTGATAACAGCTATTCTAATAGGTATGAGATGGTACCTTATTTTGGTTTTGTTTTGCAATTCCCTAATAGCTAGCGATCTTGAGCATCTTTTCACATGTTTGTTGGTCATTCGTATGTCTTCTAGAAGTGTCTGTTCAGGTCTTCTGATCATTTTTTAATTGGATTGCTTTTATTGTTGTAATTGTTGTTGTTATTGAATTGTATGAGTTCTTTGTATATTTTGGATATTAGGCCCTTATTGGAGGCATTGCTTGCAAATATATTTTCCCATTCGGATGATTGTCTCTTTACTTTGTTGACGGATTATTTTGCTGAGCAGGAGCTTTTCAGTTTGATGTAGTCGCATTCATTTATTTTTGCTTTTACTTTCCTTGCCTTTGAGATCAAATTCATAAACTCCTCTTTAAATCCAAGATCTATGAGTTTAGTTCCTATGTTTTCTTGTCTGCAACTTATTGTTTCAGGTCTTTCATTCAGGTCCTTAATCACTTTTGAGTTAATTTTGATGTGAGATGATAGACAACAGTCTAGTTTTATTCTTTTGCAGGTGATTTTCCAGTTTTCCCAGCACTTTTTATTGAAGAGGCTTTTTTTCTCTACTGTATGTTTTTGACTTTTTATCAAAAATTATTTGCCTGTACAAACATGGTTTTACTTCTGGACTCTCGATTCTGTTCTACTGGTCTTAGTGTCTGCTTTTCTGCCAATACCATGCCATTTGGATTACTCTCGCTTTGTAGTATAATTTGAAGTCAGACAGTGTGATGCCATTAGCCTGGTTCTTTTTTCTCAAGATGACTTTGGCAATTCAGGGTCTTTTGTGCTTCCATACAAATCTGATTTTTGTTCTATTTCTTTAAAAAATGCTGATGAGAGTTTGATGGGGATTGCATTAAATCTGTATAATGCTTTAGGTATCTTCTTCAATTTCTTTTAAGAGGGTTTTATAGTTTTCATTATATAGATCCTTCACATGTTTTGTTAAATTAATTCCTAGGTATTTTATTCTTTTTGTTGCAATCGTAAAAAGAATTATTTTTTCCACTTCTTATTTTGACACTTCATAATTAGAGTATAGGAACGCTATATTTTTGAACATTGATTTTGTATCCAAAAACTTTACTGTATTTGCTATTGTTTCTAGTAGTGTTCTTGTGATGTCTTTAGGGTTTTCTTTAGAGAGAACCATGTCATCTGCAAATAGTGACAGTTTGAATTCTTAATTTCCTATTTAGGTGCCTTTTATATTTTTCTCTTGCCTGATTGCACTTGCTAGGAACTCCAATGTTATATGAAATAAGAATAGTGATAGTGGACAGTTTTGTCTTGTTCCTGATCTTAGAGAAAATTTTTCTAGATTTTCACAATTAAGTATAACGTTGGCTGAGGGTTTGTCATATATAGCCTTTATTATGTTTAGATACCTTCCTTCTATATCAATTTTGTTAAGTGTTTTGATCATAAATGGATGCTGTATCTTGTCGAAGGTTTTTCTTCATCCATTGATATGATCATATGATTCTTATTTTTAAAATTGTCTATCACATTAATCGATTTGCGTATGTTGAAACATCCATGTGCCTCTGGGATGAAGTTCACTTGATTGTGGTGTATAATCTTTTTGATATGTTGCTGTATTCATTTCACTAGTATCTTATTTAGGAGTTTTACGTCTGTGTTCATGAGAGACAGTGACTTTTCTTTACTTTTCTTTTCTTTTTTTTTGTCCGTGTTATCTTTACCAGGTTTTGGTATCAGAATAATATTGTCCTCATAAAATGAGTTGGGAAGTATTGCCTCCTCTTTGACTTTTTGGAAGAGTTTGAGGAGAATAGGTATTAAATCTTTGAATGTTTGGTAGTATTCACTGGTGAAGCCATTGGGTCCTGGACTTTTACTTTTTAGGAGATTTTTGATAATTGTTTTAATTTCCGTACTGCTGACTGATCTATTTAGATTTTCTAGTTCTCCTTGATTTAGTCTAGGAAGGTTGTATCTTTCTAAGTACTTGTCCACTTCTTCTAGATTATTATATTTGGTGTGATGTACTTTTTCATAGCATTCTTGCATAATCCTTTGTATTTCTGCAGTGTCTGTCATAACTTCTCTTTCATCCTTGATTTGTTTATTTGTGTCCATTCGTTTTTATTTATTTATTTTCTTTAGTGAATCTAGCCAGGGTTTGTCAATTTTATTAACCTTCTCAAAGAAATAGCTCTTTGTTGCATTTATTTTTTTTATTGTTTTTGTTTGTTTGTTTGTTTTCAATTTCATTTAATCCTGCTTTAGTTTTGATCATTTCTTTCATTCTTCTGACTTTAGGCTTCATTCGTTCATCTTTTTCTAGTTTTTTAAGGTGAAGCATTAGGTCGTTTATTTGGGCTCATTCTTGTTTTTTGAAATAGGTTTGTAATGATGTGACCATTCCTCATATTACTGCTTTTACCATGTCCCAGAAGATTTGATATGTTGTACTATCATTATTATTCGTTTCTATGTATCTCTTGATTTCTCTTTTTATTTCTTCTCTAACCCAGTCATTCTTCAGTAGCATGTTGTTTAATTTCCATGTATTTGTTCTTTCCTTTTACTTTTTACAGTTGATCCCCAGCTTCAAGGCATTATGATCAGAGAATATGGTTGGTATAATACCAATCCTCTTATATTTGTTGAGGCTATCTCTGTGTCCCAGTATGTGGTCAATCCTTGAGACTGTTCCATGTGCACTAGATAAGAATGTATAAGCAGCTGTTTTGGGATGGAAGGCTCTGTAAATGTCAATTGTGTCCAGTTGGTTTAATGTGTCATTTAAGGATGTTATTTCCTTACTGATATTCTGTTTGGATGATCTGTCCGTAACTGACAGTGGGGTATTTACGTCCGCTAC